CATCCGTAGTTTTCTACGGGCTCTTAGATGCTTAGCTCATTTTGAAATACCTTGTGTTTTGTGTGTTTAGAAAACTATTTTTGAAATGCCAATAGTAAGGCAACTTTCTTTATGATAACTCTTGTATCAGTCCTCAAGAGCATTGATAAATAGTTTTGAATATGTTTTTTGAAAGAAGTTTTGTGTAAGTGTAACAAATTTTTTTTGAGCATAGCATCTAGGAACTATCTACTTTACTCGAAAGCATTGTTGTTTTCCTCTTTTCCTTTAGACAATGTTATCCTACTATTGGTGAGTAGGTAGTCCTAATTGTTGGATATTTTGAGGGACATTCGAAGGGACGTTTATAGTCACAAAGGCAACTGGGCAAGAAACTTTAGTAACCACCCTAGGGTTTTAAGATCATTTTTACCGAGGCAACATCGAAAGGGTCATCGAGGGACTTATGGTCTTTAAATCGGAGGGTAGCCACTAAAGTCTCTCACGTTTCGAGAGTTGTGACTGTTTTCCGAAGGAAACCGAAGTGGGGTACCCTAGAGGTGCGTATGTGCAATTGTATTGTTTTTAGTTATTTATCTTTTTTCATTTAGGTTTGCTAGCGTTTTGTTTTATTCTTGCCATACAATCCCAGTTAGAATGCATTTAAGCAGTTAATAGTTTGCAGAAACTAAAAGTGCGGAAATGTAAATCTAGCTATTACAAGGCTTCGGGGAGGGGATTATTTACATGTCCAAAATGGGAAATAAAGCAGAAAAATGAAAGTCCTACTTTAAACTACTACAACCAGGAAGCAGGTACAATTATATGAAAAATAGAATGCGAAAGATAATAACACGCGCGAAATGAAAATAACGTCTAAAACTTAAAAAGGAAAAATGTTTTTGTTTATTTTTGATCATGGAAAGAAATTTAATTTAAAATCCTAAGTCTATTTATTTTTAAATTAAGAAAAGGGTTAAAAATAATTAATCAATTAATTTACAAAATTAATTATTTGAGAAAATACTAACCTAATTTTTTTGTGATTTTTTTATCTGATTTTACAATGTTATGAAAAAATAAATAAATAAAACAATTAAAAGCAAATAAATAAAACAAAATAAAAAAATTAAATGGGCCAGGATAGTAAAAGTAACAGGGGGTGTGAATTGGATTTTTGTTTAGCCCAAATGAAACTAAGCCCAAGTCACGTTGGGATCCTGCGTTGCTGGCCATTAAGGGTCCATCATGAGGTGGTAGTCCTAGGGAGTTGGATATGATCTCCTTATCATCCATTGGCTGGAGCTTGAAGGCGCATGGGAAGTTTTTGAAATGCAGCACACTGGATCTACAAGATAATTGTTAGAAAAAAACGTAATACACGACCTGGGTATCGAACCCAGGCCATTTCCACTGCACACGTTCCCCTTTACTATCTGAGTTACTTGTTCATTCATTGATCCAAACACAAAATAATGATTATATGGTAAACTGCAATAAGATAATGAATGCAAATCTGCCACCTTCACTACTGGATCTCACCCAAACCTGCAAAATCAAATGCCCATGGGACCCTACCCTCCTAATTTGGGGGTCGCGAATCCATTGGGATCATTAGTTCGGACTAAAGCCCACGAATTTGTGAGATATGGTTCAGTCAAGCACAAATATGCATGAACATGGTGATTCATGGTTCAGGAACTATGAGGATTCATCTAATGGCTCAAACCTGCATATTTGGATCTCAGCAACACATTAATATGGATGATATGCATTGAAACACACAAAAATACAAATACGAATTCACATGATTATTGGAACCGGCGATGCATATGCATGCGTTTTTAACAACTTTTTCTGTCAATAATGACCCATTCTTACCCTATGAACCTTACGGAGATGATTGCAATGCTTGGTTTAGATGGAAATGGCTTAAATCAGACTGTAGGCGCCTGCATTGAGTTCAGAAAATTTGAAACAACTTCGAGGTTTTGTGGAGTTTTAGTGAGGCAATCTGTACGTGTAGACAAATGTATCCGTTGATGGGAAATGTCTGTCTTGAATTTATAGGGGTGTGGTGGTGAACTAAAATGGCATGAATCATCCATTAACCATGGCTTTGAAAGCAAAATCAAAAGATTTAAAAAGTTGTCATTTTGAGATATTTTCTACCATTTTGGACTTTGAGTGAACCTGGACAGGTTTCATCCCAATAGGTGTTCGTTTCAACTTTTCACATCTTGATTCTTTCGAATGCTCCCAAACTTTGTTCTTTTCGATGGCTCTTAGTCCCAATTTGAATTGTCCAATGCCTCATCATATTGGCTTCTTCGACTGAGTCACCATTTGCATTGGTTACTTGATCTAGAAAACTCTCATATCCAATCAGCCTAATCGAACTCAGTTCTTGTTCCTTTCGATCTCCTTTCCTTTAATTCGACCAATCGAAGCATCACCTTTTCATCTTAGCCTGTCGAAGCTTCATTTTGTTCTTTTCTTCGAACACAGTTGTGACTGTGTCTTCGACTCCCATTTCAACCTTTTCTTTTGTCTACAAGAATATCTTTATTGCTCACTAGTTCACCTTCGATTGGTGAATACAACTTGTATGCGCCAATCGAAGGATAACCTATGAGCACCAAGACTTTACTTTCGATCACCCAACTCCTTCCTTGTCTGTTCAGGCACATGGCTGAAACACATTGATCCCAAAACTCTAAGATGACTCATATTTGGCTGATTCGTCTCTAACTGTCCTTCGATCACGCCATGTTTGAAGGTTGCATATCCTTCTAACCATTAGACTTCCACGTCTTTCTTTGGATAAGATCGAAGCTTTTGAATTCAAAATCTTCTTCTTTTCGAAGCGCCAATTCAAACAACGTGTCATTCGAAGTGTGTCTTCCTTGTAATGCTTCGAATAACTTACACTTCCATGGTTCGAAAATGAACCCTTCGATGACGCTCTTTACTAGCTCTTCATCAATCGAAGACTTCACAAAAGCCACCTCACGCTTTCTTTCAAATTATCCTTCCTTCGATCCTAGTGCTTCGTTGGGCATCAAATTAGTCTGCATATTGTTGTCGAAGCGACTTCGACCCAAAAGCTCTTAGTCATATTCCTAGCTTTCGACCTACCCCTTGTGATGTACACTTCTTTTCTTTCAGTTATGCCATTAATCTGACGCGTATAGGGTGCCATGAAAATCATTTGAAGCCCTTGCAAACCAAAATTCTTTCTGAGAAATGAAACCTTAGACGAAAATCCATTGCTTAGGAGGAGAATTTGTCTGGTCAATTCTTGGTCAACCTTGAGCAATTGAGGACCTTAATGAACATGCCTTGAATTAAATAGGAGGGTAAATTTTGGGGTACAACCCAAGGAGAGAATCTTGATCATGTGCTGCTTGCAGACAATCAAAAATGACTTTTTGTCTTGTGCTCATTTTAAACTTTACATTCATGTCTTAAACACTTTTACTAAAAAAGGCACTCGCCAAATTATATTGTGCTTTAGGAGGGACGATGTCCTTTCTAGTAAAACCGCTAAGTTCAAAATTTGGAATCACAACCTTAAGATCGTCCAAAGCTTTGTAAAAATCAATGTTCATACCACATATCTCACTGTCTCTCAATATATGATCCTGTAACACCAAAGATTGGGCCCTAGAAGCCACAAACACGTACGAGTCAGCCTCTACTGCCGAGTACAAACCCAATCCCCAAATCTAATATGTAAAAAAGCCACCCTCCATTGAAGGTCCCTGAAGAAAAGACCTCTACCAACCACAATGTCTTCAACCGCCACTCACAGCTCTTTATCAAACCAAATAACTGCTTTCTCCATATGATTAGATTGACATATTTTAAGGCCAAAAAAGAGTTTGGTGATGCCCATGCAAGAACGAAGTAAAAAAAAATCACTCCAAAGATCCCTTAGTTATGGCAAAAGATGAATTAACTCAATAGCCATGACCGCTCTCTTCATAGACAACCTGTCAATAAAGCCTTTATCTCGACTAACAGTCTCTCCAAACAACTTCATCAATAAAGTCTTCATCTCGACTAACAGCCCCTCCAAGCAACTTCATCCCCGGCACCGGCCTCCCATTATCCGAAAAAGACAACACCTCGCAAAATTTACTTTCATCACACAAAAACCAAAAAAATCTCAATTTTAAAAATATTTAATTTGAGGCCTAACTTGGACCGAACTCCAGAACAATGTAAAAAAAATCTCAATTTTAATCCAATAATATATTATCAAGTTAAATTATGCAAGTTGTTAGTCTATAGTTTAATCCCTAATAAAAATATTTATTTATATTTATGCATTAATATAATTAAATTATTGATATTTATAAATCAATGACTTATAAAAAAATATTTTTACTTTTTTTAAATTTTATAACTTTTACAATAAATCCAATTGTATATTTTAGTAGTACTTTTGTAGATTTCCATTTAAAAGTATTTTGTTCACCAAATTAATCATTTTTATAGTAAAATAATGAATCACTAAACAATCTAAAATGAGTTTAATGAAAAAAGACAAATAAATTTCAAAAAAGTATCTTAAGTTTTACTAGTATTTAGCAACAGAAGAAAGGAGTATTGTAAACCCTATAACCTAAGAAAGAACATATGTTAAACAATTTTAAAATAAAAAATTTATATAGACATCCCACTAGACAGCCAGCGGAATCTGTTTGGTGGTTTTCATGGTAATGCCATAAATCTTATTGGTCCTTTTTGCAGTTGCCACGCCTATGTACTTTTTGTCCGTTTCACGTTACTAGTGTTTCTAGCCTTTGTTTTAAGAAAAACAACAGGCTCCTATATATATCCTATAAAAGAAAAACAACTGGCCTCACATTTTTCACTGAATTATTAATCTATAATAAAAAGCTTTGTCATATCCTTTATATATTTGAAAACTCCCACTCGCCTCTACCATTTTCAATTTTCACCACTCTCAAGCTTCGCAACATTCCAGCTCAAACAAAAACAGAGAATCAATAATGGCTTTCATGACTTCCAGAGCTGAATCAGGGACTGAGAAGATTAGCCTTGATCATCAAGAAGACAAGAACTCGGCAACAGTTAATGCTATCTCGAGCGAGCTCCACTTGAAATCGTCTCAAACCTTAGACAAAGAAGTAGTCCTCCGACGCCTTCGCCATCACAAGTCCATAAACAGAATCAAAAGTGCTTTTGAAGGTCTTTGGGTCTGCTCGACTACAACCCAAGAACAGAAGTGGCTACAACAAGATGATGTTTTTTCTTCACCTTAAATATAAGCAAGCAACCGGCACTGCTTTAAGATATGAGCAAATTGCATTATGAGCAACAGCTTCTAATGTTATTTTTCCATTTAAATATTCAATATGGCAATACTAAAAATCGCATTATGTATCAACTATCACTGCTAATCATGTTGAACAATCCTTAAATATTCCTTCCGTTTCAAATTATTTGTTGTTTCCAGTATATTCAAAATGATTAAGAAAACCAATAAATACTTAATGCTAACACAAGAGCATAATGATCCAACTAACATTGATGACATTACAATTCAGTTCAGTAGACCTACACTGACGGGTTAAAAATAAATATTGCAACATTAACACCTAACCTTGGCCAAAAGAATCTATAAAGTTTAAAGGAAATAAAAATCCTCATTTCTGGGGTATGATCCCAGAACTAGAAATAACACGCGATGCTTGGTTGGAATTTTTCAAAACAGCAGACGATCTCGGAACTGCCATTTTTCTTTCTTTCAAGAAATCTAAGGCACTCTGTAAGCATGGAGGAGGACCTAATTCGCTCAAAATACAAGGTTCAAAACTGCGAATCACAAAAGAAATATATAAATATATAAAATATAGGATAAATCATAAAAAGCAACATTTGAAAGCAAATTATAGAAATAGAGAGGATGAAATCCCTAACCCCCAATCCTTGGATTTTCTCTTCTTCGAAATGGTAGGCTTTATTCCATGTTCCTCCTTATTAGTGTCAGTTAAGGAAACAAGTCTGCAAACAAATTATAGCCTTAGAGATTTGTGGAAAGAATCATGCATAATCAGATAAGAGATAAAGAGAGGCCACTCATTACTTCTCGCGGGCAGCAAGCTTTTCGACGATGTTTTTGGGAAGAAATCCTAGAGCTTTGTTTCGTTGGACAATGCTTTCGGGAAGAAATCCTGCATCATTGTTTGGTTCTTCTTCAGATTCAGTTATTGATACAGATTTTTTAGCAGCTTTGGATGGTTGAGGTGTTAACTTTTGAGCCCGTTTTCTCCGACGTTCTTTCTCTTCAGTATTAACCCTGCCACACAAAGTCATATAGCTTAAATTAACACACACAACTTCATAACTAAGTAAACACATGTGTTCTTCAGGAATACCTAATTGTGTTTTCTCTTTTAATCTTTCGAATCTCTTCGTCTAGTTGAATACCCTGCAATACGCATTCTTAGATTAAGTATTAAGTTTTCATATTAATCCCAAAACAAATGAAAATTTGTAAACTCGATTTGAATCGTTGAAACAAAAAATTGTAAATAACGGAAAGAAACCTGTTCGGCTGTGAATTCTTCAGGGGCGTCGGAATCGTTGTCTGACATTGATGCGATTATGAGTGTTTCTCTTTCTTTCAACTTTTCTTCTTCGAAATTGAATCAGTAGAGAGAGTGAAATTAGGGTTTAAGCAACGTGGAACGGGTTTCGTTTTTTTTTTTTGTAGAAACTTGATTGAAGAAAGTGTTGGATAAAAAAGCCCAAATTAAAAAGGCCTCCTGACTTAAACAGTCCGTTAAACAACCATTGGGCTTTTGTGTAAATTCAAGGAGAAATTAACTTGTCATCCTCTTGACTTATAACTGACACCTCTCACTTTGCATGCTTTTAATATTATATTTTTGTCTAAAGTTATTAAATTTCAAAAAGTATGAGTTTTTATCAAAAAAATTTAAAATTATATTAGAAATTTTAAATTTTTCATGAGTTTTTATCGAAAATTTTGAAAAAATATCATAAATTTTGAAATTTCCATGAGTTTTTATTGGAAATTTTAAAATTTCCGATAAAAACTCACGAAAATTTTACCAGCAATTTCGAAATATGTGTGTTTTTACCAAAAATTTCAAATTTTCTAGTAAAAACTCTTGTATTTTGTACCTAAATTTTCTAAATGCATATTTTCGGAAATTTTAAATGAACTACCAAAAATTCCGTTCGATCATTTTATTCTTTTTTTTATCATGGTCATTTTTGACATTATGAAAATACTGAGGGATGTCAGGTTTAAAATTTGGGGTGGCATGTTAAATCCTCAAATCCAAGCGAATGAAAATGATAATACCCTTTACGTTAGACCGCATACCCTCTTCCCAAATACGTTAAACCTTCATAGAGATTATTAATCCCTCAAAGAAGAATAAATTGTATTTCCATGTCTTGAATATTTTTACATGTTCATTCTAGATAATTCATAATCATGGATCAACAATGTGTTCATCATAACCTTTTTTATCTCGATTGTACTTTCATGTATAACTCAAAGGGTGTCCAATATTTCTTTTACAATATTACAGTGATAAACACAGGAAAAACTCATCAATAACAAAAGTGGTAGTGATAATAATTTTTGCTTTCAAATTGTGATGCACGTTTTTTTATCATATTTGGTATAGATTTCTTTATCTTTGTTTATTAGAACGTCAACAACTAGATGTGTGGGAACAAATGGATGATTTTTACATAGTTAAAACATCACAATTCATCCCATATATAAATATTTTCATTACTCATTCCAATAAGTCTACTCCTCTCCATTAAAGGATATGATTCTGTTTAGTGAATCGTTTGAAGTTATTCTCACCTTCTGAGATTATTAGACTTCAAACACAAAGGGTGAGGGTGAATAGTTTTATTTAGTTTTTGAAAGAATTTTTCACGAAAGGTTAATTTTAGGATGATTGGTTTTAAGAAAGTGGTAGAAGCGGAGATTAAGAAGGGAAAAAACCAAAATTTAAAGAGATGCAGTTAGAGAGATCGTACCATAAATTATATTGGCTCTGTCTTAAATCACACAGACTACTCCAGTTCCCAAGAGTTTTTTCACTTGAGATTTTCATTATGAACAACTTGAGTTTTTGCATTATGATCAACTTGTTGGCCAAGTGAACTCAAGCACGAGAGAAGGGTGAATTGTGCTATTTAAAATTTGTGATTAATTTTGGAGTTTTATTACTTACACAACAAAACATGTTAGTATTTTTTTTAAGATCTGAGTAAATTAACCAGCCAGATATAAAGCAGTAAAGTAAATTGAAAAAATAGAGATATAAAGATTTAGCGAGATTGAACCAGTGATTTTTCTAGGTTCGGCCAAACATTTGGCTTACTTTTGTCCTTAAGAGGTCTTCAGGAGATTTTGACTATACACTTTAAGCTTTTACAGATTATGCCCATGAACCATAATACAATCTGATCTTGAGATTTAACAGGTTTATCGTCAACCAAAATGAGAGATTTATTTAGGCTAAGCTAATGAACCATTTAGAGATTTTTCAAGCTTACCTCAATAACCAAGTTGAACTTTTTCTAACAACATTTGAGAAACCAAAACATAGATTTTTCTGACTAGTTTATCTCACAAACCAAACTCAATTTCTCAAGAGTATCTCACTCTCAAGAATAATAACAACAACACAACCACTTAAAAATTCTTTCTCACAAGTAAAGCTTCACTCAAAAGCACCAAGACAACTTATGTGAAAGAAAAATTATTTCTAAAGAGAGAAATGGAGAAAATAGATAGATAAATTACCAATAAACATAAAGCTTATAGAGTGTCCTTACAAGTCATTAAGATATTGTCCTAATTATTTAGTTAATCATTTATTCATTCTCCAATCAACTAGATTAATGCTCCAATCAAGTGGCTAGGTAAAAAATGTTTCTAATCGATTGGCTTAAGTCCTCAATCGATTGGATAGTTTAAAACATATTTCAAAAGAGAGTAGTCAGTTTCTTAATCACTTAGCTCGACCTTGAAAACATTTTTAAGATATCAAAATGATTAAAGAAGAATTTTAAGTGTGTGTGTGTGTGTGTGTGTGTGTGAGAGAGATAGAGAGAGAGAGAGAGAGAGAGAGAGAGAGAGAGAGAGAGAGAGAGAGAGAGAGAGAGAGAGAGAGAGTTGCCTTAGTACTTAGGAGTTTGTTCCTTACTTTTATAAAACTCTGGTCATTCAGACAGACACGACCTAGCGAGTTGTTACACTTTCTTTCACAACTCTGAGGCTTCTAAGATTCTTTGCCAAAAACTTCAATCATATACGCACTTCAATAGAATATTGAGTCTCTTTTCTTTATGAGGCTTGAGATGTTTTTCTAGTTGGATCACCATCATTAGGAAATGGAAAGCTATTGCCACCAACTTCAACAACCATTGACGTTTTCATCATCAAAATTTTAGAAAGGATCTTTTGTGGTATTATCTACTTTATACCTACAAGCATATGAACCTACATTCTCCTCTTTTTTTATGATGACAACACATCTCTCAGGGAGGTGATAAATTAAAAAGCAGATAAATATATAATTTGAGTCTATAAGCTCCTTCTCAATTAGGTAGAGAGTATATTTTACTCCCCATGAGAGTATACTTATTCCCCTTTGCCATATTCAAACAGGTGGAAAATAATCCAAGGTCATAATTTAAAAATTTCCATGGGTAAAATGGACAAGTTACTTGATAAGGAGAAGAGAGAGAATATTCTAGAGTGAGTTATAAGAAGAATATGTGATCATATTTCTCTTTAGGATGGCAGCCTCTTGTTTTGAGATCAACTGGTAGATAAGCTTTTTAGAAGTCTTTCTTCGCTTGAATCTTTATAGAATAAAGCTTAGTTAAATTTGAAGCTTTCTAAATTGAGCGACACTTATGAAATATTTTTCTTGCTAGGATTCCTTCCAGGAAATAATTATTTCTTCTTATCAAACATTTAGAAAACCTCTTTTTACCTCATGGTATTTTAGGCATTGGATTGATATCACCCATTTACTCCAAGAAAAATTAAGACTCAATTAAAGGTTAGTAAAAGTAATATTAGTTGACAAAGCAATTAGTAAACCACTTACTAGATAGTCAACTAGAGTTTTGTGGTTTTTCAATCTCTATTAAGTGTTATACCTTAATATCTCAAAATAACTTGAGAAAATAAAAACTTCCCTTTTTGAAGGAATGATAAACCACCGTAGATTTTCCTTATCTACAAATCATTTGATACAAGAGTTGGTCCAACTAAATTACTGATAAATCCATTACAAATTGTAATATGGTGGCAAAACCGACTGTTGTACTGGTTTTGCGATTGTGTTCGTAGAATGTTGCGGTAAGCAAGAGTCGCCACTGACTTTTCTTTTATCCAACAAAGGAAATGGTGAAAAGAACAGAAAAAGACCTTTCAAGAGTTTTCTGAGTAAGGGGGTAGATTATGGAAAGGGAAGGTGTTAACCCTTTCCATCCGTAGTTTTCTACGGGCTCTTAGATGCTTAGCTCATTTGAAATGCTTTGTGCTTTGTATGTTTTCGAAAGGTATTTTTGAAATGCTAATAGTAAGGAAATTTTCTTTATGATAACTCTTGTATCAGTCCTTAAGAGTGTTGATAAAGCGTTTTTGAAAATGTTTTTGAAAGTTATTTCGTGTAGGTGTAAAATTTTGTTTTGAGCATATCATCTAGGAACTATCTACTTTTACTCGAAAGGGCAATTCTTTTCCTCTTTTCCTTTAGATAGTCCTATCCTACTATTAGTGAGTAGGTAGCCCTAGTCGTTGGATGTTTGAGGGACATCCGAAGGGACGTTTATAGTCACAGAGGCAACTAGGCAAGAAACCTTAGTAACTAACCTAGGGCTTTAAGATCATTTTTACTGAGGCAACGACGAGAGGGTCATAAAGGGAATTATGATCTTTAAACCGATGGGTAGCCACTAAAATCTCCCACGTTTCGAGAATTGTGACTATTTTCCGAAGGCAACCAAAGTGGGATACCCTAGAGGTGCGCATGTGCAATTGTGTTGTTTTCAGTTATTTTAGTCTTGTGTTAAGTTTGCTAGTGTTTTGTTTTATTCTCTTGCCATACAATCCTAGTTAGCATACATCTAAGCAGTTAATAATTTACAGAAATTTAAAGTGCGAAAATGTAAAATCCTAACTATTACATGGCTTCGGGGAGGGGGGCTTTACAAGTTCAAAATGGGGAAAAATAAAAAGCAGTTAAAGTAAAGTCCTAGTTAAGTCTATTACATCCTAGTAAGTGGATACAATAATATGCAAAAGTGTGAAAGTAAAGGTAAACGCGTGAATTGAAAATACGTCTAAAACGCCTAGTAAAAATGAAATCTTTTTGTTTGTTTTTTACCATGGAAAGAAATTTGATTTAAAATCCTAAGTCTATTTATTTTTAAATTAAGAAAAGGGTTAACCCATGCTTCATCTAGGACTTTTAGGGGTTATAATGTGGCATGGTTCACGGTTTAAGAAACAAAGGATAAAGACTCGAAATTTATTTGTACCCAACATGTTATTCGTGATGTTCTTCAGACCCATGCTCAG